GGCCACTATAAACATACCTTTGATGTTAATCTACTTAGGCCCTATAACATATCTTTGATGTTAATCTACTTAGGCCCTATAAACATACCTTTGATGTTAATCTACTTAGGACCCCTATAAACATACCTTTGACGTTAATCTACTTAGGCCCTATAAACATACCTTTGATGTTAATCCACTTAGGCCCCTATAAACATACCTTTGATGTTAATCCACTTAGGCCCCTATAAACATACCTTTGATGTTAATCCACTTAGGCTTAGCCCTATAAGAAACTAGAATGTTCGAACACTGTAACATTTCATTACCTCCGCCACCGAACGGCTGAATGGATTTGGACGAAAGTAGGTATACATTTAGAAAATGACCCAACTTAGAAGTGAATGTCAAGGATACAGAGAGATTATGAAAATCCAAAAAAATCCCTATCTGTAAACATAGGGACCGATTTTTCACACTTTTATTGCTCTGTAACTCATAACTCTATAAATGATCGGATTTTCATGAAACTTGGTGGACATATGCAGAGTATTATTTTCCTCCCAAAAATGGTTCGTGCCCATTGATAACAACAGGCATATAGACACATTTTGGTTCGTGCCCATTGATAACAACATGCATATAGACACATTTTGGTTCGTGCCCATTGATAACAACAGGCATATAGACACAATTTGGTTCGTGCCCATTGATAACAACAGGCATATAGACACATTTTGGTTCGTGCCCATTGATAACAACAGGCATATAGACACAATTTGGTTCGTGCCCATTGATAACAACAGGCATATAGACACATTTTGGTTCGTGCCCATTGATAACAACAGACATATAGACACAATTTGGTTCGTGCCCATTGATAACAACAAACATATAAACACATTTTGGTTCGTGCCCATTGATAACAACAGACATATAGACACATTTTCGTATTTTTTGAGGGCCAAACATGACCAACGTTGTTTGGCGGAGGTATGCGCTCTACTGAGACTCTCTCTAATTGGAATAATATTATTACAATATATGCAAGAAAATGACGTCAGGAATCTTTATGGGAAAATGGTACTGAGAGTTCTCACTTGGAGGCTTTTAAACTTACGGAATTCTAGTAAAAAAATCAGTATTTCTTGTTTAAAAGTGAAAATAAAGAGAAAAAATATATATTTGTTTTTAACCTGGGACCTATTGGTCCATCTCGGCTGTTACGTCCTCTAAACTAAATTAAAATAATTTAAAAAATAATCTTATCATTCATATACTTATCAAGCTTTCTATTAAACTTACTTAAATTTACTGCCTCCACAACATCTGTAGGCAACCCATTCCAAAGGTGTCTCCTACCTTGCCAAAATATATATTTGCGTTCCCTAGTTCTACTATTCTCACTGTTAAATCTGAAAAAATATGATGCATTAACACTAGCAATTCCCTTTACAATCTTAAACATCTCAATCAGACCCCCCACCCCCACCAACTCTTCTATTTTTAAGAAAAAACAATTTGAGAGATTTCTGCCTCTTGTCATATGACAACCCCTCCATCCAAGGCACTATTTTAGTAACCCTTTTCTGAACCCTTTCCAACAATTCAATGTTTTTACTAAGATAAGGAGCCCAAGACTGAACACAATATTCCAAATGTGGCCTAACCAATGACTTGTACAGTGAAAGTATAACCTCTTTAGACTTTTATTCAATATTTCTGTAGATACAACCTAAAATCCTATTTGCCCTACCACTAGCAACAGCACTCTGCTTGGATGGCTTTAGAGACTGGTCGACTATTACACCAAGATCCTTTTTTTCATGACACTGTTAAGGTTAATCCCATCCAAATTATACTTATAATTCAAATTATGATACCCCATATGCATTATCTTGCATTTATTATAATTAAAACCCATCTGCCATTTATTTGTCCACCTCACTAAATTATCTAAACCGTTTTGTAAATCAGCAGCATCCTCTTCACAGCATCCTCTTCTTAATATCATCTGCAAATTTAAGTAACTTATTGACTATTCTTTCATCTGTGTCATTGATATAAATCAAAAAGTGCAAAGGTCCTAAGACCGAACCCTGAGGTACCCACTTGTGACATTAATCCAATTTGACTGAAATCCATTTGTAACAACCCTCTGCTTTCTTTCATCCAGCAACTTATCCCCAACACCTATAAAGATAATGTTTTTTACAAGCCTTTTATGTGGCACCTTGTCAAATGCTTTCTGAAAATTCAGATACACCAAATCTACGCCGTTACCCTAATCTTCATAAGCAGTAACCTTTGCAAAGAATGTCAAAATATTTGTAAGGCAAGATTTTCCCTTAGTGAAACCACGTTAACTATCCAATAAAATGCCAAACTTTGTTAAACGACTTTGCAAAGCATCTTTTAACAGTCTTTTCAAAATGTTTCCCAAGACTGATGTGAACTAATGGGTCTATAGTTACTGGGAAAATGTTTATCACCTCCCTTGAAAAGAGGAGTTACATTAGTTAACTTCCAATCCTCTGGTACCTGCCCACTATTCAAGGACTGACAAAAAATAGTAGCAAGTGGCTCACATATCCAATCTTTAACCTCCTTCAAAACCCTTGAGCAAATATTATCTGGCCCAGGAGCTTTATCATTCTTTAAACCTTCCAATTTTTTTAACCAGCTCGGAATTAATGCAGTCATCTTGTTTGATCTCATTTCCATTTATCAACTGATCAAAATGTGGAACACTGTTTAATTCTTTATTAGTAAAAACTGAAGAAAAGGTAAAATTAATAACCCAGCCATATCATAATCATCAGATACAAGCCTTCCTTTATCATCCCTCAAGGATCCTATCCCTGTCCTAATATGTTGTTTCCCCTTAATGTATTTTAAAAAATCCTTACAGTTAATTTTTACATTTTCAGACAACTTTTGTTTCATACATCCTTTTTGATATCCTAATTTCCTGTTTCACCAACTTTCTTGATCTTCTATAATCTTCTAAGTCTCCTGTCATACCAGTCAATTTAAATTTCTTAAATTTATGATGCTTTTATTTAATTTTATCTCTTAAACTAATTTTAAGCCAATCTGGTTTTTTACTTGCAGCC